TTTTCTCCTAAAATCCCCTTGCATATAATAATAATCACATGATTAGTGTTGATCGCGCGGTTGTGTATTTATATTAAATATATAATTTTTTTAGTTACCCAATCACCCATATAATAGTTCGCGGTCCTAAGACGCGTGTACAACTAACTATCTATGAATTTTTCGGGGTTCTTTTTTTTTCATATCTATTTATATCTATTATCTATTTGTAAAAAATCAGATTTAAAAAAAATTTTTAATAATATAATAACAATAAATAGACAAGCAACAAAATAACAATTTTCAAAAAAAAAAAAAAAAATGCTTTCGTCTTTAGAAATTGTTACTAAATTGTTTAACGAACTCTTAACTACTGCTACCAATGAAAAAAGTGCATCGACTATAAAATATATTAATAAACTTATAAATGATTTTTCTAAATTATTAAACGATCAGCCATTTTATGATGTAGAAATGACGGTTGGCCAAGATCAAGAACATACCAAAACTTTCCGAGTTCACTCAACCGTATTAAGGGCAAGATCTCCATATTTTAATGTAGCGTTGTCAAATGAATGGATTAGGAGATCTAAAGATGGAATTATTATTTTTGAAAAGAAAAATACCACACCAAAAGTATTTGAAATTATCATAAAGTGAGTATTAATGATAGTAACAATGGTGGTCATAAATTATTTAATATTTACATATTAATTATATTATTAATATACATAAAAACACAATTGCATATATATATATATACACATACATACATCTACGCATTAAACATAAAATTTTTATTCAAGTTACATCTATAGTGGAATTATTGAAATAGATCATCTTTATCCATATGAAATATTTAGTCTGATTGAAGCTTGTGACGAATTATGCCTTAGCGAAGTCATTGATTACTTACAGAATCATCTAATTCAATGTAGTCAAGAATGGCTCAAACAGAATCTAAATTATATCAACCATATTTCATCAAATCACGCACAATTTCTTAAACTTAATCAATATTGTAACAATTTATTTGATTCCAATCCAGCTTTATTTTTAATATCTGATGATTTTAGATCAATCGATAAATCAACATTGATTTCCATAATAGAAAAAGATTGTTTACAATTGAATGAAATAGATATTTGGAAATATATTATAAAGTGGGTAATCGGGCAAATAAACTACCATATCGATGAAGATAACAACAAAAATAATATTAATACTAATATTAGTATTATCTTACGGGAAAAACCAGAAAATATTGGTTTTCTAAAAAACTTACTAGATGATCTAATTTCTTCAATTCGATTTCCAGATATTTCCAGAGATGATTTCAACTATTTTGTCAAACCTTACCAAAAAATAATTAATGATGAATTATATGCTGAGCTTCTTCAATATTACAACAGTCCCCCGATGATAAATAGTAACGCTTGGCAATTAAAAGTAATGAATCAGAAAAGACGAAGAGTAGGAAGATTATTGAATCTGCCAATCAAATGTCTTATTTCTAATTGGATTGATAATAATGATCATTATTATGCTAACGAAGGTAGTATTCCGTACGAATTTAAACCAATTTTATGTGGAAATTGTGACGGATATTCACAATCAGTATTTATTGAATTATGCTCGAATATTACACAAACAATTGTCCTAATGAAAATTAAAGGATCTGATGAGTTGGTTGGTGGGTATAACCCTGTCTGTTGGAATAATCAAAATATACCATCCAACTATAATTATTTCATTGAAACCATACAGAGTTTCATTTTTAAGATTGAACCGAATCGCATACAAAATTCTATCCTAAGTAGAGTCACGTATCCTGCACGTGCAATTTATCATTGTGGTAATGTTAATGATATCAATGTCAGTAGTAATGTTGACGGCGATAATAATGACGGCGACAACTACAACCACAATAAAAAAAATAATAATAATAGTTTTAGAAATAGAGATTATAATGGTGTTAAAAGTCAAAATAATGATAATGATATGAAGAATAATTATGTTATAGATGGTATAGAAATATCTGAAAATTTAGTAAATTTTTATGATTTATGCTTATACAATAGTGTCAACAAACAATCATTTTGTTATTACTATCACCATAACACCTTCTTATATTATGATCGAAATCTTGGATTGGATCATGGAAGCGGCAGTATGCATCTGTTAGAAGATTTCGAAGTCTATCATGTCATAAGAAAATTATAATTATTATTATTATAATTAATATAATTATTATTATTATTACTAAAATTATTATTATTATTACTAAAGTCATTAAAATTTATTGGTATTGATATTTGCATAATAAAAAATCTTTAATGTAAATTTATATAATATGTACACAGAATTACTATTAATTTAATTATTCTATTAATTTTATAATAATGTCCTCAAAAATGCACTTATATATATTATCTTTTATTATGCATAGATTAACTTTAAATTGTTTCATCGAATGTCATTGTAATATCAGAATCTTGTTGTTGCTGCTGCAATTGTTGTTCATTTATATCATTTTTTATAAAAGTATTTGTGTTAGCGTATTGTGTTGAATTTAAATATTCCTCTTCATAAACTCCAATTTGATACGATAAATCAATTTCCTCTTCCAATAAAAAATCTAAATATTTAAAAAAAAGATATTTATATATACATACTATATAATGTATGTATATACGTATAAAGCTAAGATTTATTTTGTACCTTGCTCAATCTCTTGAAAAAATTCTTCTTGTTCTAAAGATGTATTAATATCTTGAATGATTTTATTAGAACGTATAAGATCATTTGTTTGAAGTTTTTTCCATTCATTCAAAACTATCTTTCGAATCCACTATTATTTATTATTATAGAGTTGTGAAGTAAGAGAAGAAAACGAATAAATAAAGAGCGAGAGAAATAATATATGAAGAGGGTATATAAATAAAGATTAACCTGATGTTGGTCAGGTTCACTATCAACAAGTATTCCCCTTCGTTTATTTAGTTCTTGATCTTTTAGTTTCTTAATACTTTGTAAGCATTGTTTTTTAAAGTCTTCTCGCCAAACTTGGTTTGACTTTGATTTCATAAGAGAACGATGTAGTCCAAAAGTTGGCTTGTTGTTATTCTTGAAATTATGCATTCTCGAAGACATTATTATTGCTATTGTCAAAAAAACGCGTTATTTTTAACCTTTTATGTTACCCAAAATTAAAATAATATTAATATTAAAGAATTAGGACCCCGACTGGAATACCCCCATGTAGATTTGTTAGCATAGTGGAAGTTTGTTGTTACACGAAATGTTATACATATATAGTAATTCAAATCCAGTTTATCACTTAACTTTTTATTGCCAGAATGTTTGTAAAGTTGCGTTGCACAATATAAAAAATTAGTGTAACATTTCAAATTTCCACTATGCTGATTTTGTTTGATCTAGAAATTTAGCCAATGAACTCTAGTTTAGCATTCAATATTTTTTTTTGGCACAATAAAAAAAAAAAATGTCTACAGCATCAACATCAACGACAAATCCAACCTCAGTATATGCGCCTCCGACATCCTTTGGAATAACACCTTCAACTACTACACCAGTGCTAACATCACCACCAACACCTAAACAATCTACATGTACAACGCCAAATAATACAATTTATATAAACAACTTGAATGAAAAAGTAAAGATACCAGGTGGTTTTCTCAGATCTATTTTACTTTTTGTTTAAAATTGGTTAGATTGTTTTTAATATATACATGCGTGCGTATGTGCATGATTGTTTGTTTTAAAATAGCTTTAAAGAAACATTTAAGTGCTATTTTTGAACAATATGGAGAAATACTAGAAATAGTAGCACATGGAAATATACGTATGCGTGGACAAGCTTTTGTTGTTTTTAAAGAGCAAGAAAGTGCAGCAAATGCTATAAAAGGAGTTCAAGGGTTTGCTTTACATGGAAAACCAATGGTATATAAATTTGTATTGTATTATTTATGTAAATTATTTTAAATAGATGATAACTTGGAATTAAAAAATCAAACTTATATTTTTACCAAAGGTGATTCAATATGCAAAATCAAAATCTGATGCAATTGCAAAAATTGATGGAACCATTGAAGATCACAAGCGTCAAAGATTGGAGGCTAAAGGTATTGATTAATATTATATTTGTATATTTTTATTTGATTTGTATTAACCGTAAATTGGTTTTTTTTTATGATTAGAAAAACGGGTTAAAGAGCCACCAATGAAAAAATTCAAGCCAAATAACACTACAACGTTTCCAACAGGACCTTCAAATATTCCAGGAGGTTGGCTCGCTGTTTTGTATTTACTCATATATATATATACACATACATATTTATATAAATATAAATATCATCTTAATATCAACAAATACTAACATTATTAGAATTGTTTTATTACAGCACCATTATTTCACTTTGGACATCAATTACCAGCACCTGGAAATATTCCTGACGAGTATCTTCCACCAAATAATATACTCTTTTTACAAAACCTACCTAACGATATAACTGGAGCAGTTCTTACATCTTTGTTTGAGCAGTATGTTTTTATTTTTTATTTTTTTTGGGGGGGAAGTTTCAATGAATAAATTTGTAATATTAAAATAATCGATATAATAGATATTCTGGATTTAAAGAAGTTCGTTCCATTCATCCAGCAAAGGGTATTGCATTTGTTGAGTATGATACTGAGCCACAAGCAATGGTTGCCAAGGAGGCTTTATCTAATCATCAAATGGGACCAGATCATAAATTAAAGATAACATATGCAAAAAAATAAAATATGAATGGTTTGTTTTGGTTTGTGTTTCAAATTATTTACATGATTATCATTGTTTACGGTCTTACTTTATTTTATTTTTTCTTTTTTTTTGATGAATTTTATATTTACATAATACATTGCTTTTATCTATATGAAATTGATGAAAATACAAAAATATTAAGGTATGTCCAATATAACCTTGGATATTGATAAATTATTAATCTACTAATTAATTATATATTGAAGATTTGTCCTGATGCAAAAAAAAAAATAAAAGGGCCCAGCGTAGTAAAATAAATAGATGAATAACGTGTGTATGTAGGCATTTGTATGTTTGTATATATTATTAAATCCAAGGCTCACCCCGAAAATAATAATATATAGATGGTGTTCACATAAAAAAAAAGATTCCCAAATAATAACATTAATAACTAAATTATAGATATATTTATTTATAATATATGTTGGAAAATTAAATTATTCATACCAAAAATCAAAAAAAAAACTATTTTAATTATTTAAATATTGTTACTATTATTACAATTATTTTTATTTTTTTCTACCTTTGACGATCATATGACCACGATTTTCGACGAAATCCCAATTATTTTTTAGAACTTGTCTCACAGCATTAGGTAATTTTGGAATTCCATTAGGTGAATGATTTCCTACTCCAGTAATTATTTTTAAAGGTTTACCACTATATATATCACCTAACGTAATGGTAATGTATTATAATAAATAAATAAATATATATATAATACAGTACATTTATTTATTTACCTTTTGGATATAATCTATTTAAATGCTTCCTCACTACATATACTGCTTGATCAACTGTTAATCCATGTAAATCAATAATATTCTTGCCATTCCTATTATAAATTTTTTTAAAAAAACCGAGTTTAAATATTATGAAATATTTTATATAATATATATATATATATGTGGATTTACCTTTGTTGTTCAGTTGACGACATTACATATCTCAAATTCCATGTTTTCATTTCCTGATCATACTCTTGTCCCTAAGAACGAAAAATATTATTATTGTTTTAATTATTCCTTTAAATTTTATTATTATTAAAAATATAAATGTTTAATCTTGCCTCCTTCGAATAATAAGAAGTTATTCCACCTCCACCACGTCCAACCCTATAAGCTTCTGATGCATTTCTAAATGCCTTGTTTCTTAATTTTTGGCAACGAAGAGCCTCACGGCGACAATGTCCCGGATTGTAACTATATTCGTCGTCATCTTCGTCATCTTCATATTCGTCATCGTCATCATCGTCGTTGTCATAATTATTATTGGATATTCTAAAAGTATGAGATTGTTGATCATTTCCTTTTTTTTTTACTACTTTAAATTCATTTTCCGGAGAAATCAAACATTCCAAAGTAACATCAAAGTTGCCATGATTTTCGTGAAACATTGATGAAATTGTCGCAGCGGGAATATTTGGAAACATTTCTTGAAGCATTTCAATATTGTTCCAGACATTTGTGTTAGATGAGTTTGAAGATGAAGAGGACCATGGTGAATTTTTGGATAATTTTTGAGGTTGACGTGATTTGTAATAACGTTTTTGATAATTATTTTTATTTTGATAATTATTTTTATTTTGATAATTATTTTTATTTTTATTATTTTTATTATTATTATTATTATTAATCTGTATACCATTACTTTTATTTTTGATTTTTGATTTCTTTTTTTTACGATTCTTATAATTGTTTGTTGAAAAAGAAGATGCTACTGATGAAGCGTTTGGAGATGAATTTGAAAAAGCGGTCAAAGAAGAAGAAGAAGAAGAGGAGGAGGAGGAGGAGGAAGAAGGTAACGGTCGCGTTTGCTGAATATTATTATTATTATCGGAATTATCATTATCTAATTCTGCCGAGGACAATTCATTGAGAAGAAATAGTAGAACTGTTTCAGCATCATTATCATTTTCTTGAAATAATTGCTCGATTCTTGTGGTGGAAATTAATGGAAAACATTCTTTCAAGAATCCAGTTGGTGAATCAATTGATTTGTAATCATCCTTGGAAAGAATAAATGGTTCGAACTCATTATCGAACTCATTATCATCAAGAATGACAAGATCGTCATCACGATAATAATAGTAATAATTATTATTATTGGAATCGTCGCCTATCCCCCCTCCTACACCGCCTTCTTCTCCGAGACTAAGTGAGTCCATTTGAGGTTCAAGACTCGTAGCCGACTCATCCTCTGTTAATGATAATAATTTTATCATTATAATTTTTTATTATTAATTAATAAAAAAAATTTTTTTTCTTCTTTACCATTTTCACCGGAACTTGACTCGCTTGCACTCTTATCATTACTATTTTCTGAAAATAATTCTGATTCGCCGTAACCCCTTTGTTCAGAATCTAAAACTAAGGTTGCTCCTTCAGCCAAAGAATTAAGAATATCTATACAAGTGTTGATATCAGATTCATCATTAACATTTTCTGCTACAATTTCTGCTACTAATGTAGAGTCGAGTGGTGGGCAATACATTGACTATGCGAGTGTATGTGGTTGGGTGTTGGGTGTTGGGTGTTGGGTGTTGGGTGTTGGGTGTTGGGTGTTGGGTGTTGGGTGTTGGGTGTTGGGTGTTAAGGGTAGTGGGAGTGGTTGCGTATATTTTCGAATGAATTCGAAAAAAATAAATCTTTAAAACTGATTGCTAAATTCAAAATTAAAGGGCGAGTAAAAAGTATTTGTATTTATACGGCAAAGTCTTATGATCTTTGGACCACTTACCTCTAATTTCTTTTGTAAATTATTATTCATTATTATTTTTCTAATCAATTTATAATTGTTGAGTTTTTTTTTGCAAGAATTAGTGAAAAAATAGAAACTGACGATAATAAAGTTGTTTATGTATGGTATTGTTTATTGTTTGAGTGATGTAATGTTGATATTGCTGCTTTTATTATTTTTATTATTACTATTGTTAACCGTTGTTGAAACCAAAGAAGCAACAAAGGAAAAAAATTTGATTCTCATTTTTATTATATAGAAGAGGTAGGTACAAAACAACTAAATCAGTGATAGTGCTACATCGATTATTATTGAATGAAAAAAGTTATATAACAACATTAATAATAATCAATGAAATATAAATTTACAAAATTAAGAGTAAAAAAAAATATATTTAATTTTACAAATAATTGATCAAGATGAAGAATTATAAACTTTTCTTAAATCATCAACTTCTACTTTAATCAAAGTAATTGGACAAAATCCATTATCATTTACAAAACGAAATATACAAGGATAACAAAACACATAACCTGAAGGAATGGCTGTTGGGTTTGTTAAATGATTATTACATAATGAACATATATTTGATGACTGCGGAAGAGGTATTCCTTGTGGATCGGGCTAATTTATTAATGAGAAAAGAAAATTGGAACAATAATTCTTATTGTTTTTATAGTTAATGAGGAAATAAAAAATATTTACCGTGATAATTTCTGGGGGTGTTAAATCAATTCCATTATTGCCACTTTGAAGCCTTGCATATTCACTTGAATACCACCATTCCAAAAATCTGAAGAAAAATATTGACATTGGTAATAAAATTTTAATAACATCTATGCCTCTTGTGAACATATTGGTCAAAAAGTAACGACCGGCTTGAATTCTTGTTTCTGCTGGAATACCCGTTCTGGATCTCTGTTGACGTTTACGTTCATAATAATTTCTCTATACAATCATTTACATGTGGATATAATTATTTTAAATCTTGAAATGGTAATTATGGATGATTGATTGATTATATGTGGTTTTAAACTTACATAATCTTGTTCATTCATTCTACGAATTTCGATGCCCATTAAATGTAGCCACGGTGTATAATATCGTGTTTTATCATATAAATAACAAATATTATATGATAAGATTGATCCGTGATAAAATGCATTTATCCATGGATAAAGATCTTTAAATAATTTTTTAATAAGCCTTCGTATTCTTTCTTTACGATCCAACTTGAGAATGGAAGGATTATTTGTTTAGAAGAAGATAGATAATTCAAATATTCAGATTTTTCAAATAACATGTTACTAACTTGTTGGTTGCTATTTCTCAGTTGTTGATTATCTCGTGTAAATGCAGAGCCTAACAATCTTGCTCCGACACCACCACTCACTTTCTCGTACAAAATATCCAATTTAGTTTTAATATAGGGGATTCCCACCTAATAATGATAATAACAATACGTAGGTGAATCGATGAATCTGATGAAATTGGAAACGAAAAAAAAAGAAAATCCTCGTCGCTATTTTTACCAATACAAATATTGATCTCCATACATCAACATTTCTTAAATTTTGTAAATTGGTGTCAGATTTAACTTCTTGTGAATGATGATGTCCAACTTTCAATGAACGTATTCTTTTTAGTCCATAAAAATTTTCAGCAAAAGATGCACCTAATCAATAATTATGAAGAGGTCCATCTAATTATTATTACTAATATAATTATATTGTTGCTAACAACACCGAAATAATACCGAAATCATATATATGTACCTGAATCATTTAAATAATGCCTCTCTATAAATACCATAATCAATGTGTATATTTCATCAAATTGATTTACAAGTTTAAGTAAATATCTAGGATATCTTTGTGCATACACCTTTTTACATTGTAGTTGAAATATATTTAACATTAGAAAAAGAAATTTAATAAAATTATTTTCACATTCTATTAAAAATGATTATCTTACAGATAAAACATATCTAAAAGCGGGTTGAATCAACTCTCTTAATTTTTCTTGTGCAATAAGTTCAAACAAAGAAGGTCTATAAATATCTGCACCTGAGGCAATATCACTCATAAACTCCATGTTTTAAAATGTTGATTCGGTTTAAATCTATAATAAAAATATTATTATTATGTTAACGTGATGCGCCACTGTTGTACATAACATTAGGTTGATTATCAGAAAATTTTTTGATTTTTTTAAAAAAAATATGAATATTTCACATCCTCTTGGACTTCAAGCTAATTCTGTTGCATTTTCTTGCTATACACCAGAAGAATTAAGAAAATTATCAGTGAAAGAAATATTTAATCCAGCTACCTTCGATGAATTCGGTTTACCTGTACCCAGTGGGTCTTATGACCCCGCATTAGGACCTTTTAGTCAAAATTCGGTGTATGCATTCAAATAATTCTTTTCCTTCCACAATTTTATTTATAAATAAAACTCGTTTACATTCTATTTGATTTTGATTTTATATACATATAGTTGTGCAACTTGTTATTTGGATCAGTTTAATTGCCCAGGACACTTTGGTCATATAGAGCTTCCATGTCCAGTTTATAATCCATTATTTTTTAATCATATTATAATTCTACTAAAAGCAATTTGTGTGAAATGTCATAGATTCAGAATTAGCGAAGTTCAGGTAACAACTAATCTCTCGATTACATTTAGATCTTTTTGAAGTCAAGAAAAGAATGATTCAATATAATTTTTTTACATTTATAGAATTTTAAATACATTGCAAAGTTAAAATTATTAAATCATGGATTACTTTTAGAATCCAAGCAAATTGATTATATTGGCCAATCCGATTTATTTGAAGATTTTAAAAGTGACATAAAATCAAATAAAGTGATTGATGATTGTAAACAAGAAATTGGTAATTGATAATTATTATTATTTTATCTTTAATTAATAAATAATTTAATTTTAAATATAATATTTTTTTGGAATTACAGAAAACTTTTTGAATAAATCAATGAAAAATATAAAAAATAAAAAGGATGTTTTCAAATGTTCAGCAGTTAATGCTGAAAGAAAATTAGTAATTGCAGAATTATTAGCCCAATGTAATAGAAATAAGAATTGTCCATATTGCGATTCGTAAGATTATTTCACATATAATATTTACATTTACATTTAACATTACATTTACATTTATCTATTATTTATTAGCTAATCAACTTGCAAAAAAAAATTTTTTTAGGCATTATCGAACATTTAAAAAAGAAGGATATTCTAAAATTTTTCTCAAACCATTACCTCTCAAAATTCAAAGATTAGAAAGTGCAAGAAATGATGTGCCACAAAATCGTGACGCAGATGATGACATGGAAATAGATGATGAATTAGTAGGTAATGAAAAAGCAAATGATCCAAAAAAATCAAAAAAAAATTTATCACAAGAACCATTACAGTCATCGACTTTATCAAATACGGAAAACAAATACGTCACACCAGAAATAATACGCAGTCATTTTAGACAACTTTTCACTAATGAATCAGAATTATGTTCTTGTCTGTATAATATGGAAACTTTTCCAATATCCCAATTTGAATATGATAACAATAATAAAGCTCTCAGAGCTGACATATTTTTTCTTGAAGTTATTGGAGTCACCCCAGTTCGTTTTCGTCCCATATCTGTTCTTGAGGAAATGGCCATAGAAAATTCTCAAACAATTCATTTTACCAGAATATTAAAAGCCAGAAAACAGCTATGTTATATTGCTGGTCAGTTTAGTAAAGATAAAGAAAATATTCTTGAAAATTCTGTTGACATTAACGAATCAATTGATAATTTGATGAATTATTGGGTGAATCTACAAGATGCTGTTAATGGATTATTTGATAGCTCCAAAGGAATTTATTCAGGTATTAAGGATCCACCACCTGGAATAAAACAAGTTCTAGAAAAAAAGGAAGGTTTATTCAGAAAACATTTGATGGGAAAACGCGTAAATTATTCTGCTCGTTCTGTTATTTCCCCTGATCCAAACGTTGATACCGATGAAATTGGAGTAAGTTTTAATCAAATATTTTTTATTTTTTTTAATAAGAAACATTTTTATGTTACATTTTTGTTTCAAGGAAAAATTTATTAAAATTTGTTTTTGTTTATCAGATACCAATGGAATTTGCAAAAAAATTAACATTTCCTGAACCAGTGACCATCTATAATATTAAAAGATTGAGTAAAGCTGTCACCAATGGACCAAATATATGGCCTGGTGCAACTCATATACAACATGAAGATGGCTCATTAACAAATTTATCAATGATATCTCAAAAATCACGTAATTCAATAGGACAACAATTGCTCAATGAAGAACATAATAAATCGTCGTTTACTCAATATAGAATTAATACTCAATTTCTAAATAAAAAGGTATTTCGCCATCTTGATAATGGTGACATCTTACTTTTAAATCGTCAACCTACTTTACATAAACCTTCTATAATGGCTCATAGAGCTCGAATATTAAAAGGTGAAATGACTATTAGAATGCATTATGTAAATTGGTATTTATAATTTACTTTTATGTGTGTGTATATATACATTATTTATGTGTAAAGGAAAGTTCCGACGACAATTCTAATCAATTAATAATAAAATTTAGTAAACCTTACAATGCAGATTTTGATGGCGATGAAATGAATGTTCATTTTCCACAGAATGAAGTGGCGCAAACTGAAGCAAAAATGATTGGAAATGCAAATAAACAATACCTTGGCCCAACAACTGGTTCGCCACTAAGAGGATTGATCCAAGATCATGTAGTTACAGGTGTTTGGTTAACTTGTAAAGATACATTTCTTACTAAAGGGGAATACCAGCAACTTTTATTTACCTCATTAAAACCTGATCCAAAAGATTCAAGAAAAATCTTAAATTTACATCCTGCTATTATAAAACCAAAGGAATTATGGACCGGAAAACAATTGGTATTCATTATTTAATTATCATGCATTTAATATATAAAAAAAATTATATACACATTTTTACCTTTAATAATTTAAATTTACTTGATTGTGTAGATAAGTACAATTTTATATAATATGACATATAATCGACAATCATTAAATTTGACTTCGAAAAATAATGTTTCTGATGAACAATGGGGATGGAGTGGAAAAGAGGAGGGTACAGTGATTTTTCTGGACGGTGAATTACTAGTTGGCATACTTGACAAATCACAATTTGGTACAAGTGCTTATGGTTTTATTCATTCATGTTATGAAATTTATTCAGATGAGATAGCTGGTCAGTTGTTGAGTATGTTGGGTCGATTGTTTACAGCCTATGTTCAAATGAAAGGATTTAGTTGCCGAATGGATGATTTGCAATTAAATACTGATGGTGATATTGGAAGAAAAAATTTATTGAATTCAGCAAAAAATATTGGAAGAAATGCTGCATTTGAATATGTTAAAATGGATTATAATACTGTTAAAGATTCTATACCAACTAAAAATAAAGGTACACAATAATAATGATAATGGCGATGGTGGCAAGGATGATGATTATAATTTGTCATTTTTTGAATTTATGCCAATTATTTCTAATTTATTTATGATAAAAATATATAATGATAAAGAATTTGTAAAAGCAATGGAGGAAGTATTTAGAGATCCAGAAAAATATCAAGGACTTGAAACGCTGATGAAATCAAGAATTAGTGGTTTAACAACATCAGTTATATCAACTTGTATTCCTAATGGCCTGGTAAAATATTTTCTATAAATTATATATATAAATTATTATTATTTTGATTTTTTTTGGATTGATAATATAATATATTATTTAGTTGAAAAAATTTCCACATAATAATATGCAAATGATGATTATACCAGGGGCAAAAGGAAGTAAAGTTAATGCTGCGCAAATTTCTTGCTGCCTAGGTTAGTCAATTATCGCAAAAATTTAGATTATAATTTACCATTTTTTTCTATTTATTCAAATTTTATATCGGAAACGAATTACAGGTCAACAAGAATTAGAAGGAAAACGTGTTCCTATGATGATAAGTGGTAGGTCACTTCCATCTTTCATGCCTTATGATCCTTCAGCAATTGCTGGTGGGTTTATTGGTGGTAGATTTTTGACTGGTATTAAACCACAGGTAAGTATTATTATTACTAATTTTACTGCCAATATTAATGATTTTTGCTAAATAACAAATAAATAATAAAATATTATTTTTTAATCATAAGGAATATTTTTTTCATTGTATGGCTGGTCGTGAAGGTTTAATTGATACAGCAGTGAAGACAAGTCGATCTGGATATCTACAACGGTGTCTGATTAAACATTTAGAAAGCCTATGTGTTCATTATGATCACACAGTGAGAGATGGTGATGGTTCAGTAATACAATTTCATTATGGTGAAGATTCATTAGATGTTACCAAACAAAAACATCTTTATGAATTCAAATTCAATGCCCAAAACTATAAATCTTTAATAGAAAATTTTAATATTTTACAAGCATCTGAACATCTTGATATTTCTACTGCATCGTATTATGCAAAAATGGCAGCAAAACAACCTAATAAGTTTGATCCAGTACTTTCCAAATTCTCCCCAAGTAAACATTTAGGTTCTGTTTCAGAAAAATTTAGTAGCAAATTGGAAGAGTATATTAAAGAAAATCCAGATAATATACTTGATAATAATAATAGTAACAGTGGTGATGATTTGTTAAGCAAAGTAGCATTTAGAAAATTGATGCACTTCAAATACCTTAACAGTTTGGTGGAACCAGGCGAGGCTGTTGGATTACTTGCAGCACAAGGTATTGGTGAACCATCAACCCAAATGACATTGAACACATTTCATTTTGCTGGTTTTGGTGAAATGAATGTGACACTGGGTATACCGCGACTTCGTGAAATAATTATGACTGCATCACGCACTATTAAAACACCAATGATGAAACTCACGGTACTTGATGGAGTCTCTGATACAAAAATATCCGAGTTTTGTCAGAGTTTTAGTAAATTGACATTATCAGAAGTGATCGATAAGATGACTGTCACCGAATATATTTCAAGAAAGCGTGATGGATCAGGATCATTACGTAATAAAATTTATAGAATTCGTATGGATTTTTTCCCAAGAAATGAGTACAAAGAAGAATTTAATGTTGACGAATGGCAGATTAAAGAAGTTATTGAAAAGATATATATTCCTCGTCTTGAAGTTTTTATTACCAAAGAATTAAAAAAGTTTTCCAAAAATGGTATCAGCATTTAATTCATCCATCAATCAATTTTATTGTCAAGAGTGTTTGGTATATTTAATTTTTCTTTTCTTTTCTCCTCTTGCAAAAAAGTAGATGATTCTACTAATTTTGATAAACTACTTAAAAAAGCCAAAGAATCTGATAAACAATTTAATGAAGATGAAGATGTACCAAGTCCTAATTTTAATGGAAATGGTTAGTTATTAATAATTTTAAAATTCTAAAAAAAATAATTTTTCAATTATTAAATAACTTTGATTTTTTTTCAATTTCACCAGAATCTGATGACGGTGATGGTGATGCAACAACTGCACGTATCAATAAGCGAACCAAACAACATGCTTCATATGATGCACCAGATGAAGATGATCTTGAAGTTATTAAACAAAATGATGATGAGCTTGATAAAATTGATTTGATAGTAATTGACGATGAGGAGGAGGATGATGGAGAAAATGATAATCAGAATAACAATAAACTAAGTTATGGTGATGGTAATGATGCTAGCAGCAGCGACGGTTATGGCGATGATGGTGATAATAATGATAATTATATGATCCAAGATTTAGAAATTAATGAAAATAAAGAAAAAATTAAAAAGAAAATAATTGACGAAACATTTATAAAAAACAAAATTATCACAAATTCATTGTACGCTTCTAATTACGAATTTGATGATAAAGATGGTGGTTGGTGTGAAATAGAATTAATGGTACATAATTTTTTATTTTTATTTTATTTTTGCACCGAGAAAAAAGTAAATTAACAAAAAACTTTGTTTTTTAAATAGTTTCCTGCTGGTACTAGAAAGATACTATTGTTACCGTTAGCAGAAATGGCTAGTAAAATGTCAGTGATACATGAAGTTAGAGGAGTGACTAAATGTCAGCAGATTACCAATGATAATGAAAATGATAAAACAGTAAGTAGATTAATACTTGATAATTTAAAAGTTCATTTCTCAAAAAAATTGTTATATTAACAAACTTATTTAGAAATCACTAGTGACAAATGGAGTAAATTTTCAAAGTTTATGGAAATATGATAAATTAATTGATATAAATAATATATATTCTAATGATATTGCTGCAATACTTAAGACTTATGGAGTTGAAGCAGCAAGAATGGCAATTATAAGAGAAATTTCAGAAGTTTTTGGGCTTTATGGTATAAAGATAGATATAAGGCATTTGTCTTTAGTAGCTGATTATATGGTAGATATAATTTTTACATGAAAATATTTTTGCTGAAAAATAATTCCAAATCCTAACCAAATTTGTTATTTGTTATTTAAGACATTTGATGGAAAGTATAAACCATTTAATAGAATTGGTATTGACTCAAATGCTTCACCTTTCTTAAAAATGAGTTTTGAGACTACATGTAATTTCTTAACACAAGCAACGCTCTATAGTGATAATGATTTATTGCAAACACCATCTTCAAGATTAGTATTTGGTAAAGTGGTGCAAGGTGGAACTGGTTCATTTGAAGTTAGATATCCTTGTGATGATATAAAATTTGAAAATTAATAAAAAATATATTGTAAATGCAATCAACCAATTAATTAGTTTTAATTAAATTGTTCACTATTATTTTCATCATCACCTTTACCTCAGTGAAAAAAATAATTGGAATAATTGCGATAAAATATAATTTAGGTATATAAAAAGACATTTATTCTTCCTTTGGCCAATGAATTATTTTTTAAAAAATATATAACGTGGACGCGGCACAACTTTGCAGCAAAGCACACAATTCTTTCCAAAATATTTAGCTTAATATAAATTCTTATTTTACTCGCATTAATTAATAGAAAATCATTAAATAAAAATTTCCAGATGTTTTTTACAGAATCACTATTACTATCAACAAATATTTTTTCTATATAGTAATTAAGGATCTTTTCTATTTGTGTGGAATAAAGATTACTCATGAAAGAAAGACTATTTAAATTATTTTACTAATTGTCTATAGTTGTTATTATTGGTAAGAATTTAATTTAATTTAATTTCTAAAAAATAAAAAAAATTTTTTATTGAAATTAAAAATAATAGTAAAAATCAAAAATATTTATAGTTTCTTTTTACCTTACTGAAATTTCGCACGATTTGACCATATTGTTTGGTTAATTCTGAACAATTGAGTGTACGAGAATTATTTTCTCTAAAAAAAAAAGATTTTAAATTAGAATTAGAATTGAGGATAAATGATGATTATTATGATAATTATGACAGTTAATTATTACTTGTAACAAGAAATTAGTTCATTTTTCTTAGCTGTTATTTCATTTGATTCTTTAAAATCATGTTTTCTAAATTATTAGAAAATCAAATAGAAAAATCAGAAAAAATTTTTTCTGATGGTTTCTCAACAAATTTTTCCTTGTTAGTTTATTTTCTCTATTTTTTTTTTTTCGCTCACCTTTCAACTCTTTTGATCAAATCGTTCAAATCATTTTCAATTAGATTGCTATTTAAATTTACATTTCTATCAAAATTGCTAGAGATATTAATAGCCTGTTTTAGTAATTGTTCATTAACTTTTCTCTTTACTTCAGATTCAATATCTTCGATTTCTCTTAATTTCTCATCTACTCTGCTAGATATAATTCTTTCTAATTCATCTTCTGATAAATTATAATATTGTTTTTGAGATAATGGTGGTGGTGCTGTTGCTGTTGGTGGTGGTGGTGCTGTTGCTGTTGGTGGTGCTGGTGCTGGCGCTGGTGGCGGCGAATATTTCTAAATAATGGAGGAATAAATTAAATTAGATTTTTAAGAAATATTATAAATAATTCAAAAATTATTTTAATTACCAATTTTTCTTTTTCTTTTTGTAGGTTATTGATTAAATTGTGAGATAACTTTATTTTAATAATACAAATTTTTAGAATTTTAAATTCCAACTCAAAGAACCTTTCACGCAAATATTCAAAATTTTACCCTAATTTGTGGCTCATTATAAAACAACATGCTTTCACCAGGCATAGATTGTTTTGCTCCCATCACCAACTTTGAGTCGTTAATATTATAATTACAATTTATTGGAAAAAAAAATCAAAAAATGTTTTAGATTATCCTTCTGTATCACGTGTAAACGAAAAATTTTACCCACACGACCCCAGATTTATGCGGTAACAAACATTAAATTATGCATTCATCTTTTGGAAATTTGAATAAAATGTTTTTTAATTAACAATTCCAATATTGTTGTTTGCTTTTACTTTTTTTATTTTTTAAATTTATATCATGTGAATTCATTATAATGTGATTAGTACTTATTATTCATTGAACAACTTAATATTAAATATGGGGCATACTGCAACAAAACCAGACAAAGTGAACATTGGTATTACTAAGGATTTCAGGGGTCAATAATCTTTAACATCACAACTGTCTCTAGATAAAAATAGTTAATATGAAACTCATTTATAGTACAATCAGAAATATTTTGATTTAACCTATGTTTCAAATAAATAATACTCTGTTGGTTGAAAATTATCTAAGGAAAGAAAGAATAGAAAAAAGATCACAAACTCCCTTTTGCAGCAAATCACGAACTATTATAATTATTTTATTATTATTATATTTTTATAATAAATATTATATGAGTTACATATCTCATTTGAGTAATTTATTGAATTGAGTCATAGTTAATGGTTCTCTCATATACTGAATCTGCCTCGGAGGTGTAAATTGACTACTTCTTTTTTTATAATCTTCCATGAGCCTAGATACTTGTTCCTATGAATATAAAAATTCATTATTATTTCAAAATAAAAATTTAACATAAACTGAAAAAGTAAAAACAATTCATACTTCTAATGACATAAAATGGATTATAGAACTTTCAATTGCAGGCATTGTAGGTCTATCTATAACTAATTTTGTATTACCATATATCCATGACTGATAAATACCATCAAATTGTAAGTCTATCAAAAACAATTGAATCACATCACCTACATTATAACAGGGTTGGCAAATTGACTGGTCCATTGAGAACTGATGGACTTTGAGCTGGTCCATTGCCATTAATAAAATACTAAATATAGTTAAAATGTTACACTAATGGACCCAATAGACCATCAATGGACCACCAATGGACCACACATTCACCAACCCTGATTTAAAATATTGTGTATCATTTGTGACCAATGAAATTGCTTCTCTCCATAAATGCACGCCCTCCATAAATGCACACTGTCTCTTGGTCCCAAGGGGGGAGCATTTATGGAGGTCTGACTGTATATATAATTTATATATATACACATATACATATATACATATAAATATAATAAATAATTTTTATATATATATACACACATACATATAATTTATATATATATATATATTTATAGATAAAAATAATATTTGGAAATCTTTTGAGCAACCAATTATGCAATATTTTCGGAATTGTGTGTATGCTGCTACCTTGAGAAAAACAACACCAGAAATAGTAACACCAACAGATGAAGAACTGTTTCATGTGCAAGTAGATGGACTAGTAGCACACCTAAGTGGTGATCATTCTTTATGCTGGGATGAGGTATGCTGGTTGAAAAATAATTCAGAATTAGAACTCAAGGAACTCATCTTTTAATGTATTCAGATATTGAATGAAAGGCTTTTAGAAAAATGCCACAAGAAAGTTTTACCTTGAATCCCCAGCAAAGCCTTGTTATTCACATTTGTACTTCATATAATGAATCATTAAATCGTGAAAAGAATATTTTTCTAGATAAAAAAATAGACTTTTGGCAGTCTTTTGCTGCATGTCATAGTTTAACAGTAATTCATCATAATGAAGGACTTTTGGAAACTATAAAAAAGGCTAGATTAATTGCTGGTCTTGAAGATCTTACCTTTGAAGACATTGAAAATATCAAAAAAATTGCCAACACTCAAGATTCTCAAAGAGCAAGAAATGTGGAAAGAATACAGGAAAGAAATAGAGAGAGGTCTGAAAGGATCATGCAACAAAACCAAGAATTAATATCTTTTGATTTTGATCAAGATTTAATACTATATGGAAAAGAATTTCAAAGAAAAATGATGTCATTTGAATACAAACCATCTTTTGCACACTAGTGTTGGTTTCCAAAACTAGAGAGTTTCGCAGCCGCGCGAAAGCCAAAAGGTTTCGCCATAAGTCAAAACTAGTTTTGATTTTTGACTATTAACTTTTGATTTAGTTTTGACATATAACTTTTAATTTTAGTTTTGACTTTCGCCTTTTCAAAACAGTTTTGGCGACCAACACTATTGCACACTTTATTCATGATTTTAATACAATTTCTAAATGTTTGGCATGTCACAGTTTTCCAAAAGCATCATCATCAGGACTCTGTCGTGCATGTAATTTTTATCTAAAACATAATATGTATAACAGATTTCCTGATAAGTCTCTCCAATTACCAGATCAATACTCTTTTGATTCATCATTATCTCATACTCCTCCTCCACCAACAAGTTTGATTATGTCACTGATCACTAAATTTTTTAAGTATGCAGCATATAGAGAATGTCAAAGAGAAAGCATATTTTCCTTTGTACAAGGTAAGGACACAATGATTTTGTTACCAACAGGTGGAGGAAAAACTCTATGCTACTCTGCCTCTGCTTTATTATGTGAAGGCCTTACAGTAGTTTTCAGTCCTTTGAAAGCACTCATAGATGATCAAGTGGTATGGTAATTTTAATTGAATATTTATTAAATCTGTTCTAGAAAAAATTACTAATATAATTCTTTTAGATTGAAGTCACTAAAATGGGTATCCCTTGTGCTGATCTTTATACTTCAAATGGAAAATCAGCATCTCATCAAAAAAAAGTATTTGAAGAACTATTATCTGGTTTTACCAAAATTCTTGTAACTCCTGAAAACTTTGACAAAAATATTGGATTTCAGAAAATGCTGCATAGGATCTATGAAAAATTTGGTTTATGTTTTGTAATTGATGAAGCTCATTCTATTAAAGAATATAGACATTTTAGGTTTGTTTCTATATTTTAAGTTGTATTTTAATTTTTTTAAAATAATAAATTTTTCTGATTTTACAGACCATCATGGAGTAATTTGGGAAAGTTGAGAAATATGTTTCAAGAAGCACCCATAATGATGTTGGCAGCTACTTGCTTCAAAGAAGATGCAAATATAATTATCAACTCCCTTAATATAAAACCAGAAAATCTTAATATTATAAGAAGCTCTTCTTTTTCACGTCCAGAAATTAAAATAGAAGTCTGTTCAAAAGGAGCCAAGGAAAAGATTATTGGTTAAACTAATTAGTGAAACCAAGAAGGAAAAATTATAATATTAGAGCTCCGAAACGAGTCGGGTTGACCCGAACGGGTCGGGTCGGGTCATGATTTAATTGACCCGGGTTTGACCTGGGTCAACATCATGTTATAATTGCCTTTAAAAGTTCAAAATTATTTTTGAAACTAGTATAGATACTAATAAATGAATAA